TCTATCTATCTATCTATCTATCTATCTATCTATCTATCTATCTATCTATCTATCTATCTATCTATCTATCTATCTATCTATCTATCTATCTTGTGATTTCTAAATTCTGATGTAATCGCTAAGACGACCCTGTGTGACTTTTCACCAGCAGCAGTCATGTTGTTAAATCTGAATTTCATAAGCGGATCCATAACCAGGGCAGTGCTTGTCAAGACAAACAACAGTCTTCACACAACCTACCAAGCAAAATTCCAGTTGTTTTAATTTAATTTTGTGTAGAATCCAACACAGGGCGGAAATGGGGAAGCATTTGCCACCTTCTCCTTCCTCTCCCTCCCTCCTTAATTTTTTTTCATCCCCTTTAAATATGTTTCTAACCTCTTAAATGCGTTCTAACCCTCTGAACCTGTTTCTAAACTTTTTTTTTGCCTCATAGTGGAAAATCGACGACAAACCCGTGAAAGTGGACAAATGGGATGGGTCAGCAGTGAAGAATTCTCTGGATGACTCTGCCAAAAAGGTAAAGCCCCCCCCCCCTTTTGGAATAGATGACTCCTCCCCCCAGTCCTGTTTCTTTTTTATTAATCCCCCCCCCCCACACACACACACACAATGCTTGTTTTCGTGCTGGTCAGCTTGGAATACCTGTGTGATTCTGTAGTATAAATGCGTTCCTCTGCATTGCTTAAGGACCTTTTCCCAAGCTGTTGAGATGCCTCCCTGACCGCCCCCCCCCCCCAATCACAACAAGCAAACCCGGCTCCCTTCTAGCACTGATGATGTTACGTAGTTGGGTCATGAAATGTCTGCAAGAAAAAAACTACACTCAGAGAGCACCTGAGGTCCCCACAGTTCTCCTCCTCTTTCTCCTTCTCCTCCACTCCACGAATCCCATTCCCTTAAAGCACTGAAGATGCTACATAGTTGGGTGATGAAACGTCTGCAAGAAAACAACCAAGCTCTGAGAGCACTTAAGGACCTCATAGTCCTCCTCCTCCTCCTCCTCCTCCTCCTCTCGGCAACTCCCTCCTATAGCAATAGCAGTTAGACTTATATACCGCTTCATAGGGCTTTCAGCCCTCTCTAAGCGGTTTACAGAGTCAGCATATTGCCCGCAACAAACAATCCGGGTCCTCATTTTACCCACCTCGGAAGGATGGAAGGCTGAGTCAACCCTGAGCCGGTGAGATTTGAACAGCCGAACTGCAGATAGCAGTCAGCTGAAGTGGCCTGCAGTACAGCACTCTAACCACTGCGCCACCTCAAGTCTATCATCTTCCTAGCCCTGATGATGTTCCCACAAAACATCCACAAGAAGAAACCCCAGCTCAGAGAACACCAAGTCTCCCCCCTCCATATCACCCCCCGAGCCCCAAAGACTCTCTTCATATCGGCGAACTTCCTTCCTTCCCGTTAAGGGCTAACGTGGGCCGTTCTCTCCCAATCAGGTCCTTTTGGAAAAGTATAAGTACGTAGAGAACTTCTGCTTGATTGACGGGCGCCTTATCATCTGCACCATCTCCTGCCTCTTCGCCATCGTGGCTTTAATATGGGACTACCTTCACCCCTTTCCAGAGTCGAAGCCGGTGCTTGCCGTCTGCGTGGTGTCATATCCTTTTTCCGCTGCTCCGCGTCTCAAAAGAGACTCCTTTGCTTCCCATTTGTTGCTGGTTGCTCTGTTGGGCAACCCAGAAGCCCAGAGCTGAGTTTCCTGGCATCTTTTTTTCTTTTGCCAGCTTTAAGGAATGCTCAGGTTAGCTGAGCTTCCCAGGTCTGATGCTCTGCCCCTTTTTGAGTGGAAAGAAAGCTGGTTTATCTCATATCTCTCTTCATCCCGGGGTGCTCTCGCTGGCCGGAATTGTAACCTGGGTCACTAAACCAACGGTTGTAAGTCGGGAACTACCTAATGTCAACTCATAAAGTTGCCATGGTGAGGAAAGGGGGGGGGAGCGCATTCCACGCATATCTTCGGCTAGAGTCGGATCTCAGATTATTACAGCAGGCTTGTGATGTGTGCACCTCGTTGGTGAATGTGATTTATGACACAGACTGAGAGGAGGGAAGGAACGGGGGTTAGGTTCAGCCGTAATTCAAATGAGGTTTAGATCTGACTGCAAAGTGGTGTTGCCGAAATGGGGCTCCTAATAAATGACTGGATTTCTTTTGAAACTTGGCTCGAGGCTCATGAATCAATTAGGATCATTCCGAGCGGAGTTGTCAAACTCAAGTCCTGTGGGCTGGATCCACCCCACGATGTGCTTGGATCTGACCCGCGGGGCCGACCTGGAAAATGTAAGGGGCTGTCCCACGTTGCTTCGGCCTAGTCTACTCAATGTGAAGAGGGAAAATGCCAGCAGTTTGGGGAGTGACATCAAGCTGGCCACGCCCAGTGAGTGGTGTCAAGCTGGCAACGCCCAGTGAGTGGTGTCAAGCTGGCCACGCCCAGTGAGTAGTGTCAAGCTGGCCATACCCACCCAGTCGACCAGCCCCCCCCCGCCCCTCAAGGTCAACAACAGCCCTGATGCGGCCCTCCAGGAAATTGAGTTTGACACCCCTGATTCCGAGGAACTTCGGATGGATGGCCTCCATTCCTTCCTTCAGATTTTCTGTTTTGTTTTAATTGAGTTTAATTTCGATTTATTCGCTTACACAGCCACCCATCCTTAAACCAACTCTGGGCGGCTTCTAATCCAAAATTAAACAACTGATCAAATCCTATTAAAATTCTAAATGGATGAAACAAAGATTTGGCGCAGAGTTACCTTTTCTGAGGTGTCGTTCTCTTAATTTTATGTCAGAGCTTGGGGCAAAAGCTAGCTCTTCAGAGCTGCTCCAGATGCAGAACCTCTGATTTATGACTTCTCCTTTTCATGAAGTTACATTTCAAGTTGGAACTCAACGTTTTGCCCCCGAGATAGAGAAACGAAAGGTGAATTCTTCCAAGGGAATTTGTCTTCAGGCTACGTCTCCTTGAAGTGAGGATGTGAAACACCAACCACGCCTCCAAGGCATGTCCTCTGTTGGTCCTCTTCGCTCATCCACAAGCATAAATTTAGGTACTAGTGGGCCTCAACGTAGGGGCACAGTGGCTAAGATGCTGAGCTTGTCGATCAGAAAGGTCGGCGGTTCGAATCCCCAGCGCTGCATAACGGAGTGAGCTCCCGTTCCCCGTTCCAGCTTCTGCCAACCTAGCAGTTCGAAAGCAGGTAAAAAATGCAAGTAGAAAAATAGGCACCACCTTTGGTGGGAAGGGAACAGCGCTCCATAGCATATGTGCAAGGGGAACCTTTACCTTTTTATCTTGAGTCGTCGACTTAACAATCATTCAGTTAGCGACCATTCGAAGTTACAACAACGCTGGAAAAAAGGGAGTTATGGCCGGTCCTTGAAGTAGTCACGATTGAAGCATCCAGATGACAAGACTAGGCTAGGTAGGTACGTAGGTAGGTAGGTCGGTAGATCGAAGGCATGGATGGATGGATGGATG